GTTGCGCAGTTGCCGATGTCATATCTAGGACTCCCGTTAGGGGCACGATTTAAAAGTACCCATATCTGGAATGGTATTGTGAAAAGAATGGAGAGAAGGTTAACGGGGTGGAAGCGTATGTACCTTTCTAAGGGAAGTAGACTTATTCTCATTAAATCCACTCTCTCCAATCTCCCTACTTATTTTTTGTCATTGTTCTCCATTCCGATTGCAGTGGCAAAGAGATTAGAGAGGCTTCAAAGAGAATTTCTGTGGGCAGGGTTGGGAGAGGAGAGGAGACTCCATTTGGTCAATTGGGGAGTTGTTTGTTTGCCGATGAGGATGAGGGGTCTTGGGGTGAGGAGCCTTGTGTTGTTCAATAAAGCCTTATTAGGCAAGTGGTTGTGGCGATTTGGAGTGGAGAGGGACAACTTCTGGAGAGAAATAATTGGGGCGAAGTATGGTGTGACCGATGGGGGGTAGTGTACATTTGAGGATCGTTGTTCTCATGGGGTGAGCTTGTGGAGGTATATCCGACGGGGATGGAGTGTTTTTTTGGACAAACTGAAGTTTGTGGTTGGAAATGGTAATGAGATTAAATTTTGGGATGATTGTTGGTGCGGAGATCAACCGCTGAAGGAGAGATTCCCTTCTTTGCATCGCATTGCCTCAGTGTCCACTGCTATGGTGAGTGATCTCTTAGACATTCATAATGGGAGCTATAGCTGGAATATTACTTTTGGGAGGGATCTTCAGGATTGGGAATTGGAAGATTATTCGTTGTTTATGACCATTTTACATGAGGCCCAAATTCGGGTTGGAGAGAGGGATTGCATCGGGTGGAGGACAGCACAGGATGGCATTTTTTCGGTTCGCTCGTACTTTGGTTCCCTCATGGGATGTGTGAATAATTCATTCCCCTGGAAGTTGGTATGGCAGTGTAAATTGCCTCCTCGGGTGACATTCCTATTGTGGACAGTTGTGAGGGGACAGGTCTCAACGGTGGATAATCTTCGTCGTAAAGGCTTTTATGCAACCGAGTGGTGTTATATGTGCAAGAAGGATGGGGAGACGATCGATCATTTGTTCATTCATTGTGATGGTGTACGTTGGATTTGGAACAGTATACTCAGTTCACAATCTATGGATTGGGAGATGCCTTGTTGTATAGAGGACGTGATACGGGCATGGCGTAGAAAACTTCGGGATAAGGATAGCAAACTAGCATGACACCTTATCTCGGGCTGCATTGTTTGGTGCGTGTGGAGAGAAAGGAACAACCGTTGCTTCGAAGACCAAACAAAGACAAGAGAGCAGATAAGAGAAACATTTTACTTTACCTTGTATTCTTGGTTTAATGCTGTGGCTGGAAATCCTGTAGATGGGTTGTCTAATTTCATGTTTTTCCTTAATGGCTTAAAGTGATTGTACACCCCCCCTGTATTCTCTTTTAAGTAATAAAATTATTTGATTACCTATCAAAAAAAAAAAAAATCGTTCAACGTGTTTCTTCTACACTCCGTGGTTTTACATCAATTGTTAAAGTATGCAAATGGCTCACATAGTGGGTTTTCCTTGCATATAAAACTAACCAAAATAGCATTTCAGTTGACTTCCAGTCATTAATTTCCATGTGTTGCTTCTACTCTCTGTAGTTTTACATCAATTGTTAAAGTATGCAAATGGCTCACATAGTGGGTTTTCCTTGCATATAAAACTAACCAAAATAGCATTTCAGTTGACTTCCAGTCATTAATTTCCATGTGTTGCTTCTACTCTCTGTAGTTTTACATCAATTGTTAAAGTATGCAAAGGGCTCACACAGTAGGTCTTGCATGCATATAAAACTAAATTGGTTAACCAAGACTGTATATTACAAGTTACAATTCCTCATACGTGCACATATGATAGTACACGAACATAACAAATTATGTGTGAACTTTCATTCTGAAACAATAAATCCAACTGTATGATTTTTTTTCCTCGAATAACATAAAACCTGAACATTTCTGCTCAAGAAAAATTGTTCAAACCCATAAATTATATGAGGTTGTGTATAACGCATGTTATAGTTTTCAACAAGTACACTTTCGACCAAATCCCAGCATCCAACATGTACGCTTTCGACCAAATCCCAGAAAAATATAAATTTACTGAGTTCATGTGGGCATAACGCATGTATTAGTTTTCCTTCGACAAGTGTAGAACAATACAAGCAATTAGAAAACTATAATAAGAAAAATAATTAGGTTGTGTATAGCTATAATTTTATTTTTCACATTATATCTGCTCGCACTCGATTTCCATATTGCTTGAATCCATCATCATTTTTGTACCAAAAAATCTATTTAGCGCTACAGTAAAGAACTAAGTATCAACGAAAAAATAATACTCAAAATACCTTGAAAATGCAGGCTTGGGGCTTTACATCACTGCCATCTCCGCCTCGATCCACCACATTAAACGTGATCATTATAGGAACTTTAGCCGCTGATTGTAAAGGAATTCCACTGTCGACCTGAATACCTCTTACAAGTTTATTAGGAGCAGTAGGCAGATAGAGATCGTCTCCTTGCATTTGAATTTTCTCCAACTCCCTATTTCAACATAAGAAGAATTGTAAATTTGGTTCCCAATTTGACTAAAATTTCGGCTTTTGAACGTACGCAAATGAAAAGTAAATAGCGGCATATTATTAAGAAAAAGAAACACCTCCTTATGCCTGCTCGCCTTTCCTCCTTTGGAAGTGGAAAGAGAACACCAGATATTGATGTGACCTTGTCGAAGAAATCAAATTCTCTTTCAAACAAATCAAGGGCTTTAGGATTAAAACCATCAATTATACGTTGCCTAACAACTGGCAATAAATCTTGGAATGATCTATCCTGCAAAAACTAAAATAAAATGCACCAACACTACTTATGTGAGCCAATGTGCAAAACAAATAACTTTGTTATAGTAAAAACATTTCATCAAAATCAAACAGAGGTTAAACAAAATACACGGTATATACATTTACGGCGTGGATTAAACTTAACAGTTTAATGACATACTTGAAAATGTTAAAATATCCCTTCATAAATATGAGCATGCAAATGCTCAAAAAAACCCCCCGGGGGGAGGGGGGGGGGGGGATTCAGGACTACTGTTGCATTAATAAATTTGCATGCTTGGGTTTATGTTGTCCTGCGTTCAGTCAAACGCGACATTCATACACATCACTTTCCATGGATCAATGAAATAGCAGCTAAAACATATAAGCAAAATTATTACTGCGTATTTGAATAATAGGAAGCAACCAATATACTGGAATTTCATTTTTACAAGAATTCTGTAGATATTTAGGCGAAACTGGTGCGACCCGTGAACAAATCAGCTAAAATACAACCCACATAACTAGAGAATATGAAACCCTCTTCCATACAATTAGTTAATAGATGAACAAATACCTTTGCGTAGTCTGCATCTTTCCCTGGCTCTGGAACATAAGTCTCACCCTGCGATTTATTTCACATAATGCGTGTCAAACCTAGGCTAGAGCATGCTTACATTGTCCAAGAGACAATATTACTAACTCGATTACCAATTTATTGGTTAATAAAAGAACTGCCAACTTTTCACCTGTAAATGCCATATCAAAATATGGGCAAAAATATCGCTCCTTTGTGTAGCTCTGAGCAGGTATCCCTCAACTAAACTCTGAAAATTAGAATTTACCAAATTGTTAAAAAAGAGTTTGTTTTGATATTAAATGCAAATACAGAAAGCAGAACATATGGCTGTTGTCGCTTAAGTAAGGGGTGGATCAAAAGGAGAAACAACAAAATGCAGAAGATAAAATTAGATGTTACTTCCAATTAATCATTTTCTCTTTCTTTTATGGGCATGAACCAGTAATTCGTTCTCTGAAGTTCTGATTTGTTGAGAAATGTATTTCTTGCAGTAACAATGGCGTCAACTGTACAAGAATATATTTCATGTCCAAGCTTATCTAGTGATAATAAAACTATCATTTATACTGGGATAAACCTCTACAGCTTGTTTGATTATATTGTGAAAAAAATGATATTTAAATAGCAGTTCCATCGAGTCAAGAACCTACTTCATCATCATATCTTAGAGCCTGCACAAGCTGAGGCATGAAGAACGTCACACGCTCAGGGGGATAAGATTCCAACACCCTGAGAACATAAGCCATGACTCGAGGATGACCTTTATAAGACGGAGTGAGGAACTCCAGAGCCTGAGTGATTGAACAAGCTGCCCAGTGTGGCAATTGCTGCAGAAGTGAAGAATTTTCATCAACCGCCTTTGGGGTAACAAAATATGGCAAAGCTTCAGGAATGTCGCGGATCTCCAATATATGTGACTGTGACATGAAAACAAAAGCATGAAGCAAAGTTAGTCTTCCAGTGTGAATAAATCAAACAAGGAAGGTTTATTATAGAGCATAAATATCATGATGGATTTTATCTAAATTACAAGCTACAAACTATTGCTTCTGTGTCCAGTATGTTAGAAGCACGTGACCGCATAAACAAGACAATTAAAACATGCGCACACAAACATTTAAATATTGAAACTTCAACAGAACAAAAAAAATCTTATATATAACATGTACCCAATGTCAAAAATAAATTAAATTAAGAACATGAATTTAAGATATAACTTCAAGAATTTATATGCAGCTAAATTTAAACAGGTCTGGAGAACCAATAATTATTACCAGAAATAAAATCTAATATATAACAATTAAGTTGATGAACAGTATCACAAGAGGTGTGCATTAATTTCATGACAAATCTCCAAAATCCATGACTAGGAAGCATTAATCTATGAACACGACTATTATTTTAACTGTTTCATTTAAAAGGGAATAGTCAGTGAAGTTCTTATTTTCTATCAAAAGTAGCTTTTCTTCATAACTAAATAACTGATAAGCGAACTGGATAGACCACACTAGAAAATTATATAAAAAGTAAAAACATAAATTCTAGATTTCCATGAGATGATGACATCTTAATACGTTCCTTCTAGAAGTATAATGATTAGTCATTTCATCTTTTTAAAACAATATAAAGAAATAGCATCACAACGACCAGATACATATGTTAGCACAGTATGCAAGTCTGTCATTTAGCCATTTTTTTATTTTGAAGTAATTTTATGAAAAATGATGTTTTCAGAGAACGTGTAGTTAAAAAGTAGGCAAAAAGTTATGGGTCCACACATACAAAAATTTCATATGGAGAATGTGTGGTTGAAAATGAGTGGGGAAAAGTGCTTCTAAAAATACCAAAATCAAACAAGGGCTTAAATAACAAATATTCACATCTATAGAAGATTCATACTTACAAGAAAAGTAAGTGAATTGCAGAAGAGTTTTTCAAACTGACCATATTAATAAGAAGGATTACAACCATCTAATCAATATGTTAAATATTCTACTCTTACATTTTTCAGATTGACAAAACTTTACGTAAACAAACACAACCTTGAGCTAAGGGGAGCCAAATATTTGTTTTTCTAACTGTAGCAAATTCTATCAACATACTTGAACCAGCTGAGTGAGTTCAGACTTCAGAGTAGAATTTGTTGGAAATCTAGCTGCTAAAGATAGAGCAATTCGAGGATCAACAGAGAAGGCAATCCTTGCATAATCAATCCACTTCTCAGAGCTGATTTTGAGACGAGAAGTACTTTCCCTGAAAATTTCGTAATTACACAGGACGATTAAGAACTCCAACAGTGTTATCAGATTCATTAAAAGAATTCAAACATCAATTTAGAATTACTTAGGACCAATAGGTTGTGCCCAAACATCAAGCCTATCAGCCTCATGCTGGCATAGCATCAGAAGCAACAGCTGTCGCTTCTCTCGTCCAACAGTGTAGTTCTCCATCTGACCCCAGACAGGGTGACATTGATCCTTCTGCAAAAGGGAATAAAAAAGTTTGTGTCCAATATCTTCACAAACAGCATATTGTGTACACCAAAATGTGATTCAAGGGAATTTAATGTCATTCTTCTGGCAGCAAAAAGTTTCTGGATAATAAGAGCTGAAAATTTTGATGGTTCAAGTGAATTAATCTCACCACACCATTAAAAGAGCCACCATTTTCGAGCCCACGTCCTTTGGAATCATGATGGGAAGTGTCCAACCGCTCACTTAAAAGATGATGGACAAACACAGAAAGTGATTGAACTTCACTCTGAGCAAAATTGTTGTTATTCAAATCATACCATTCAGGTTCATGAGCAAACCACCCTAATGAGGCCCTGTACTTGCAAAGAAATATAATCAAGTTTTTTTCAGAACTTGCAGGAACTTCAACATTTGATGGAAAACCTATAAGAGTAAATGTCTTATCTCAATGCAACAGTAAGTAGGGAAGAGAGAATAAATATGAAAGAGACTAAAGAGTTAAAGAAGTAGGATCTTAAAAGTCAAATTAAGAACCTCGATGATAACTGTGGACATACACAAAGTTATGTATAAGACAAAACTAGAGAACTGCAGGTATACTGACACTAAGATGCACCCATTTTAGGGCAATGAAACATGTTAAGAAAATACTGTCAGTTATCACCTAAATAATGTGCCATCATTTCCAGAGTTTAATGCCACCTACATAAACAAGAAACTTGGTACTACACCTTTCAATGCAGATCAATAAAAAGGAAATTGCTAATGGCCCATTAACAACAAAAAAAAAATAGAGTGATTGTTATGAGTCATCCTTTAGTTATTTTCTGCTTCATAGTTACTAAAAATTATATTCAATATATACACGAAGATAAAAGAATAACGCTTACTTTAACTGTACAGGAATTTCACTCAAATATCCATGTGATATGAGCATAATCATCAGTTCCCTCAAATACATGATAGTACATCGAAAGATAATTGTTCATAAGAATATAGAGCAAAAAAGCATTTTGGTAGCAAAAAAAAGCATGGAATATGAGCATTAACGAGTTAATATCGAACAGTTTTTAAGGTCTACCTATAAATCCTATCTTCCAGCAACTGTAGCCCTGTTCTGAAGTTGTGCAGATTCCCCTGTGACTGGCAAGAGCAAAATTTTAGGCCAAAAAGCATGAGAGTGAAAAAGGTTCCAGTGACAGCCGGATGGCGTGAAAAATTCCAGGGCAGTTTTGTTGTCCCTTGTAGCATCCGACCAATTAACAATAGCTGCTCAACACTGTTATGCCGAACTACCTGAAAAGAGGAAAATTTTCACGAAAAGAAACACTTCATAATTTAAGTAAAATTTATATTAAGTATCAACAGAAAATTATGAAATAGAGAAAGCCAAGATAAAACAAGAATGCATACATTGATCTGCTCTGAATATTTCATACAATAATTCATTCAACATTGAAAGGAAAAAAGTCGACATGGTAATTGATAATTATAACATATACCTAAAGCCTAAATTAATAATTCTCAAGATATTACATCATCAATGAATCCAAGTTCAGCGTTCATTTTTAATAAATCCAAGGTAGCAAAAACAATATAACCTGTTAGGCAAATTTTACTACGAAATTTCTTCTTCTTTTTTTTTTTTTTTTGATAGGTCTACTACGAAATTTCATGCAGGGTCATTAGATAAAAGGAAAACAAAGACTAGGAGAATTAGCTAAGGAACGAACTTGTAGTAAATAATATAAATCACACTCTGGACAAATATTATGTGTACATAGAGGATAGAAGTGAAAAGTGGACCAGGCCATCCTGTCCAAAAAAGGTAAACGGACCCAGAAATTTTAAATTTTTTGGTCATTCTAAAAAGATAAAACGAAAAAAAATAAGAAATAATAATAATAATAATAAAAGGCCTGCAAGGGCACCTACGTGCCAGCCCTAGATGGCCCCTCCCAGTTCTACAACTCTGCTTGAACGTTAAGTTTCATATTATAGCATCGGCATACAGTTCAGGACCAGAGTAAAATTTGTTACAAAAAGAGAGCAAAATAAGGCATACATCCTTATTCTGTCCTGTCTCACCTCAAACCGATCTATAAAAAAACCAAGCCACAGTCTGTGAGCCATTATCTGTTCAACAGGATCCTTCTCGGGCAGCCGCTCAGGCTCACCAGGAGCAAGGTGAGGCCTTAACTTTGCAGCAGGTCCATAATACATCACATCAGATGCAAAAAGACCCCTCTTGGTATCAATTGTCCACAACCATGCGTCAACAAGTTCAGCAAGGACTAGCGAACCCCATTGAGGCGCAGCTGAAACTAACCATGTCCAGATGTAAACACCAGTCTCCATTGCATCCGGTGTGGTTATGTAAGCTGGACACCAGCAAAGGAGACGTAGGAGTTGTGAAAAGCCCTCAACTTTTGATTCTGAATCTGAACCCTGAGAAGAATATTTTCATCATGTTCAACAAACTAACGATTGAAATTTATTTTATTATACTGAAAGTGGAAGTAAGAGAAGTCATTTACCATATTTGAAAGAAGCAATGCAGTTGCTTGAGAACAAGTTTCACGAAATGATGATTTGTCCACTTCACAACCTTTCTCCGCATTGTTGACGAACTTCTGGAGCAGACTCACAAACCTCGAAAGTAACATCTCATTGAATGATTCATTTTTTGATTGTGGATGTTGCAGTAATGCTCCCGAACCTAACTCTGGAAGGTCAGGATTAAGACCAGAACCAACCGATGGAGGCTTATCAAGGCCACCAATGCTCTCGTATAACCTTCTCATGCCGGCAATTTCTCCAGCATGGTTACATTTTACTGTTGCACTAACCATACCAGTACCGAGCACCTCCAAATTGAAGGCATCAGATAATTTCAAGTTTCCTCCAGACGCTGCAGCAGCTGCAGCCATTACAGCAGGAATATTTGCAGTTTTTGTACCGGTCCAACAATCATTTTTACCTGTACCAATCCTTATTTCCGATAAAAGAGATACCACATCAGCTGTAGGCTGTGTTCTTTGCCATGTATCAGCTTTGCAGAGCCTTTCCTGAATATAAAAAGTTTTGGTGTTAGGAACAGGGATTTGAAAAGAAGATAGGGTAATAAAGCATTGTGTCTGAGTTGGAGATCGAGGATAGGGTAATAAAGCATTGTATCTGAGTTGGAGATCGGGGTTTCAGAAAATGGTATGAAGTCTATTGGTGAATAAGCATCTTGTCACCTTACTTGGATATACTGAACAAAAAAGGCAGATCAGCTGGTGACAATTCAACCACAGTAAAATAATCATGTCAAATTGTTTGTGCTTGGGGATCACAAACAACTTTGTCAACAAAATTCAAAATTTCAGAGAATAGACAGCAAATGCTGTAAACTAAAGGTATACCAAGAAACCCCTACAAATTCTATCCAAAAAATCAATCCAAAAGAAAGAAAGGGTGAATCGTTATTGAACCATTTTGATAGTGAAACCAGAACTGATCACATTAAGTTGATGGGACAATTCATGCAGAAATTAGTATATAGTTCATATACTTGTAACTAATGCACAGCATGTATGTTTGATGATGAACCATATGTATTTTTTCATTAACTGGAATTCAGGGCTGGCCCCACTAAATTTTCTGCATTCTGTTTGTAATTACTAAATTGCCATCTTTTGAAAAATTGCATGTTTGATGTTGAAGAAGCAAGGGAAGATTTTAAGTTGGAAAAAGAAATTCATATATTTGAAATTTGACTTCTGGATTTTCCAGAGTGAACAATGTTGGATGAATGGAGGGAGACTGTTGTGGAGCCGATACATAAGACTAATGGAGAGATTGAAGATTCTACTGACTACAGGCAAGCTACAAGCATTAGCAACAACTTTCGTTTAACCTTATGAAAAAAAAAAAGAAAAAGGAAAAAAGAAAACAAGACATGCACTAATTCGCCAGCGCTAGTGCACTACAAATTTTCAGCTTTCTGCAGATACTTTAATTCCCTCCAGCTTATAACAGACTAAAAAGAGTAACAAAGCCGTCAAGTAGGTCCATCGAACCTTTCCTTTTGTCACAAATCTCGTAAGGTGGGGAATTTAATATCCTTAAAATAGCAATCTTTACTCGTCTTTCCGTATTGGCAAAACTTTAATTTAGGACTTCTCAGTGCCCTTTCTTTTGGTATTAAGTTCATGTGCCTTACTACAAGTAAGATTGAATAGTATTGAAATTACTATAGAGCATCATGTTGTGCAAAAATTTACCGTTCGGGTATTTATTATAAAATTAAAGGGATTTATGTAGCTGACCAAAAATTTATGTGCATAAGGGTTAATTTGTCGTACAATGTTTACCCAAAAGATAAATCTCGGCTGTCTCAAAGATATGTCCATTACAAGAGGAATCCAAGTAGTTTGTCGTACAATATTTGCCCAAAAGATGAATCTCGGCTGTCTCAAAGATATGTCTATTACAAGAGGAATCCATGTAGTTTGTCGTACAACATTTGCCCAAAAGATAAATCTCGGCTGTCTCAAAGATATGTCCATTACAAGAGGAATCCATGTATTATCCCACAGGAAAACATCAAACGGCATATGCATTATCAGGGACTGAGAAAACCCATTTCCATTCTTAATATAATAAAGCAGATAAAGAAAACTGATAGAAAAGATTAAGAAAAGCAAATTTCCTCGAGGAATAAAATTATGAGCTACAACAAGGCAAATGAAATTTGCAACTGAAAGAAGCAATTGAATGGCATAGGATGACTTCCAAATAAGGAAATAAAAATAACCTGAAGAAGACCCTGACTAGTGCACGGCGCATGCGACAGTGAAACAATGATCCATTCCCGAACAATCCTCTGGTATAAAGAGCGAACACTAGCAACATAAGCAGGATCATTCACAAGAGCTGTCGGTGGATCACTATGCACTGAAAGTAGCAAAGCATCCAGACAAGAAGGATTCCACAATATCTGCATGATAGGAGCCATGGTTAGTTATTTTAGCAAGTGCAGCAACAAAAATCCAGAGAGCAAGCAATGCACTTTTACCTGAGGAAACCTATCTCTTAGTCGAGTTAATAAATTAAGTGAGATATCCCGTATATGTTCATCTCTTGAAGACAAATTTTTTATGAGAAAACAAGTATGAACAGAGAGAGTAGATTCTCTAATCTCGGCTTCTTGTCCAGTCTCAGTTGCTCGAGCTTCCTGTACCAAGTTACAAGGACCTACATCATTTGTCAGAAATAAATCTAGAATGAAAATATGGGATTGTGTCTCCATCAAAGAGCAGTTTCCTATAAAAACTACATAGTTTGGTTATTCGGTTGATTTATGTACTTCCATTTCTTTCACAAGCTAATTTATTATAAAGAAGGAAACCACCAGAAAGACAACAAAATCAAAACATCTCGCGAATTTTCAGCACAGACCCACAAAACCCCACCACATAAATGCATTCAAGAAATTATTCCCACACAATAACATTATTGTCCAGTATTCTTCTTTTTACTTTTCTCCATAAGTTGATTTGGAAAGCTAACAAACAATTGGGCTACAAGATCACAAGATTCTTTCAACAATTGAAACAAATAAGAGATCAGTGATACCAACAAATCTCATTACATACGCATGTTCATGAAATTATATATCAACAAGTTACGAAGTGAAGGGTCATGAAAATAAAAATGATTGACAAGAAAGCTTAACCAAATGCTGAATGATAAAAGTTACAAGAAGAAGAATACCAGCCACACAATTGCTGCTTCAAAAGCCTGATGGACAATAGCAGTCAAGCACTGGGAGACAGCCGGCATTAGATTGGGGCTTTTCAAGTATTCAAAGACACAGCTGAAGGCACTTCGAGACACGGTAGAACTAGGACCACCATTGAGAATGCCACCATTGCTGCTAAATCGTATTATCTCCAGGAACGCAACAGCTAAGAGATAATTTGCTTTGACACCTGCAGAAGACACGACACAGATAATTGACAACTCAAAAGGTCCTGCCAGGCTTCCCAAAAAAAGTGAAAATGTATAAAACTTTGCACTTCATTCGCCTAATCACAGATTCTTATTCTGATTTACTGAGAAATCAAACTTAACCTGAAATTGAGCTCATTGCTGAAACCTCCACTCGCCCTCCTAGAGCAGCAGAAAGAGCAGTTCTTTGACTTACAGCAGCTTTTTCATTTCCACTTCCCCGGCGGCTACCTGGGTTATGAAGAGCATTAAGTTCTAACTCATCTTCAAGCCATTTCACAGAGCTAACCACCTGAACCAATACAAAATGTTCTGAGAGCCACAAAGTCATATTTAATGAAACACAAAATAGTACTTATTGTCTTGAACAATCATAGTCAGAAATCATGAATGGTAATCATACAGATTAAGCAACGTAAACATCAAAAATAAAGAATCTTCCACATACTATCATAAACCTAGATGGATGACAGTTTCACAGTAGTTTCAGAGAAAAATTCCTTTTTACTCTGGGAAAATCTGTAATACATTCTTCCTCAATGTCGTAACCTGAAGCAATATCTTCAATTCGAAGGTGATTAAATTATGGTACCAGTAACATGAGCAAAACCTTTAAGGCAATAGCACAAATCTATAAAATACAAGTTCGGTACTCGGTTGTGAAATACATCTTCAACTTGAGCCAAATCTTGTACTATGATGAATTACATTCTCTAACATGATGGACATGAGAAAATTGAATACATAATAAGGGAGTTCACAAGCAAGATAAGCTGCCACAAGCTGAACTGGAAACAAAAGCAATACCTCAATATGTCCACAAGAACATGTAACTATTTAATTTCTGATGACATGCAATGGACAAATGCACAGGACTTTGACCATTGTTTCAACTCCTCTATTTTTGTTCCATACCAAATCCTTAAATCCAGAAAAGTATTAGATATTAAGAACCTGTGTGAACCCCATTAAAAGGCTAAGAATGCATTTAGGAATGGTAGATTGATGGAGAATATGTAGTTAAAAAATAAACAAAAGTTTCGGGTTTGCATGTAATATTGTTTTATTGAAGAATGTGTTGTTGAAATGAGAGAAAAATGTATTTTGGAAATAATGGGGATCAAACAAGGGCTGAAAATCATTTGCCCCTTTTTAAAACCCCTGAGAAAAAGAACATTAGTATGATACATTAAGTAACAGCAACAGATTATTATATTGACTCAAAATATTCAACAACAAGGTCTTAAAGACATATAATATAGATGGCTACTATTCATATAGACGGGTTGTCCAACTTTATGTCGTTTCTTTCTTGTATAAATTAATAACACACTTCCTGTGTATTATCCGTGATTAATAAAATATTTGTTTAATTATCAAAAAAAAGAAAAAAAAAAAAAAGACAAATAATACAGATGGCATCCCATGTTGCTCGTTTCTTGTAATATTTTTGGTTGGAGTCAATATTAGGTCAAGTTGAGCCTAATCTTCAAGGACAACTAGACTGGCCCATTGAATGTACTATATCAAATTTGCAGACACATAACCAGAAACACTAATTAAATGTTAAAGTAAGGGATAGCAATTCCTTTTTGTGACGAGGATAAAATGCTGCAAATACCATCATGAGAGCCAGGCATTTCGCAAATATACTCAGCAAATTGTTAATAACACTCTAACAAAGAGCAGTAAGAACAAATATTCATGACAAATCACGTTTAGAGCTCGATGATCATGAAATTCAATAAATATTTAAAACAATGAAATACACAAAGGCGCAAAAATATCTATACATGAGCATAGGTGAACATACAAACATGAAGAAACATCGACATATCTTGGTTTGTATGCAAATAGTTTAGCGCCCATGATCAAGATCACACAATCAGATCTGGAACAGATACAAGAATGCCCATAGAAAATAATTGAAGCATTGAAATGAGTACATATTTGTTCGTGTGTGTGTGTGTGTGTGTGTGTGAGAGAGAGAGAGAGAGAGAGCAAACTACAAACAAGCTTAAAGTCAAATCCGAACCCTAAAAGTTTCTGTGATCACAGCAGGTATGCAATAGATTTATAAAGACTTTTTTCAACTCAGCTTACAAGAGGTGGGGTCCCTTGAGAGGTGCGTTGAACAGCAGATAACCACTGTTCGTTCCACATATATGGTCCACCAACTGCTTGTAGTGCAATAGCACCCATGCTACCCACGCTATTAAGTGACGTGGAAACTGACTTTGTCCCAGTTGGTATTTTCTGTATTGGAGGTGCTAACCCAAAAAGAGCAATGTAGAACCACAAATTCCGAAATAGCTTTAGGAGCGAAGGTTCTACACCTACACTAGGATCAAAATCAGAACATATTTCTGCCACCGCAGGGAGTAGAGGCCCAAGGAAATCTGCTCCACTCCTGATAATGTTTATGTCAATAGGAATTTTGCCGAAAAATTTAATCCAACAAGATTACAACCAAACAATTTTACACAACTCTACCTTCCACTTTTCGACTCAGCAGCCAAGCCTACATCTGAACACAGTGACAGCAAACGATGACGATATTCTGAACGCAATTTAGTAGTCGTAATGCCTCTGGCAATCAACAAAAAGCCTGCAGGTAAAGTCTAGAATGTAATTGAACCAGTTAGTATCAATACAATTAAAAAAAAAAATTATTGTCCCAAACTTCATGATCATTATCAACAATTCAAAATCCAAATGTACCTCAACACGTTCCGTTGTGGCTTCAGGTGCCTGGGTTCTACTCTCAGCAGAGCCAACAATGGAGAGTTTACCCAAGTAGCTCCGAATAATGAGAACAATAGCTTCACGGTAGGACTTCTCGAAACCTAAACTTGCCATGCGAGAAACAGCATCGAGAAGCTGCAGAAACTCAACAAAAGAAGGCTGAGAAACCATGCGAGATTCAATTTGAGCAGTAGTAAATGAATGATAGAATAGATTCCCTAATAAACGACCTATTAAAGAAGCTTAAAAGAAGAAAAATTCAATTATATTAGACATTCAAGGGATAGGTTCATACTCGAATTCTCAATAAGCCAGGAGTTGAAGCATCACCCTCTTCTAAACTTTCAATAAATAAGGGCAATATCAAGTCAACCAGTTCAGGCTTGTTAACAGCAACTGTTAACTCAGCTAGCAAGCGTATAACATTCAGCTGCAGAGCTGGCACTGCCTGCTTCTCTTTTCCATCCTGAAATCATACAGGTATACAAGAATACAAAAGATTATACAATATTAGCCATAAAAATAATAGAACAGAAGCAGAAAAATAAATGGGCATTTAGACCTCCCAAACTGAGACTTAAACAGGCCAGAAGAAATTGGATAAAAGCAGAAAATCTCATGCTTTAAACTATTATACCCTCAGCAACAACTAAAACTATACATAGTTATCAACATTTTACTCAATCTCATCAACTGTTTAAGCTACTTGCTAAAATAAAGGGAATGATAATATCAAGATTCATATCATCTGCAAACGATCATAAATAGCTATTATATTGGAAACACAATCAATTAATTGAACATATTGTGTCTTAATGACCTAAAAGACGTGTTTCCTTCTGTTCCAATTGTCAGTTTACATCCATAACTTTTCCTCTAAATTGCTAATGCCCTTGGCCATTTGCAATATATAACAAGAATAGTTTCTATCTAAGTTACTCCAACATTAGATCCTAAAGTAATCTCATTTACACATGGTAACCGTTTTAAAAAATGTTTCTTTCATAATAAACCATATTTAAGCAAGCAAATCTCTAAGTCTTCATTTTTTTTTTCTAACTGCTTGTTTTCTAGTATACCACAAATCACACATTATAATTCAGTTTCAGCCTACCATATTTAAATTTACATAATTCAAATATCTAGACCACAACTTATCAGTTATTCCAACTCCAACAGATTCTTAATCCCCACCATAGTTTTTTAAGTTTTTCCATATCGATATTCAACATGAGCTTATGCAAACGCAAGTTGACCAAAATTCACATGTATCACCAACAATCAGCTTAAGCTTTGATAAGAACCTTTCTTTTGTTTCAAAAGGACATCTAGCCAATATTCTTGCAGATCAGTCCTTGAGATATTGTAAACCAGAAAACTCATATCAACGATAATGCCTTTCTTTCTGCAGGCTAACTTGCAAGACCTCTAGGTAGTGAAACCAACATTTCAACCAACAGTCGAGGATGGCATAAAGAGCAACGTGATTTCACGAATTCAAAGAATTAGTAACTATTGTTAGACTTAATCACAAAAGACAGAAGCACTTAGTCTGTTGTTTATAAGTAAATAGTAACAACAAATAATACACTGAGATGGTAAAGAGAAAATGAGTGGCTGATGAAGATGACAATGACAACTTCAACAGTGATGAGAAAAACTATGTAATATCTAACAGTCGCGATAATAATAACCTCTAAATTTACTAAATGAAGCAACTGTAAGTATAACAAACCTCTTCCTCATAATCATTTCTTTCACGAACATTCGTAGCCAGTCCCATAATAAAAGTGTCTACGGGAGACCGGTCCTTCGTCCATCCAAAGTAAATTATCTCACAGCATGTTTTCAAGACACTCTCGAACATTACCCCCGGGCTGCTGCCCCAAGTGTCTGCCTGTTTGTTAAAAATGGTAAGAAAGTACAAAAATCATTGAACAATCTCAGCAATTAAAGAAAAACATCAATTCAACAAAAGCAATAATATACCTGAGCACATGTAGCTAGAACAAGGGGTTTAAATCGAATGAGTAGAATACGAAGCAGCTGACCACCACGAGTGACAGCAGCTTGGGAAATCCCAGCTAGTAATGAACTAAAGAGCACTTCACATGCCCTTAATTTCCGCCAAACTGAGAGCAAGCATGCCTCCGAAGCCTCTATCAACAATGCAAGAGCTCCATGCAACAATCTCTTTGATGACTTACCTTCCGCATCAAGAGATGGAAGAGCCTTAATTTGCAACCTTGCTGCTGCTTGGTAAACAGACAGCTTTGAATTAATCCTTACTTTCAGCAATTGCCCTTGCTCCGCCCAATCATTCTTCCTAATCTGCCCACGTAACCAAACCATTGAAACCATCAGTTTTCATCCTTGTCTTGAGTAAAGTTTCTAAATTTCCCATGAAACCCATATAAAAGAATATGCTCATTAAATTTACTTACCTTTAAAAATATTAGAATTGATTGAAGTTGCTCCTTGGCTACACCTCTCACATGCTCCAAAAGCATCGGATCAATGGTCACTTTATCCAACAAGTGTCCAATTAATTTGAAAGCAATCTCCTGTTTTCCAAGGCTCTTTACAGACTCCTCCTCAAAGAATGCCAAGGCCTTCTTATAAACAGAGGCATCATTCAACCCCATAGTCCCGTCCATTATATCCATGTTGCTCTTCCATGTTAAGCTACTACCTCCATTCACCATAATACCTCTCGATGATGACGCCTCATCCCTTGAAGCCACACTACTCGTTGACCCAGCTGAGGCAATACTGGTATCATTACCCGGAGACTGATGGTGATTCACGCTAATAGGAGAGCTCTGGGCCGAAGTCGTGTCAGGGGTTATAGAAAGCGCCTCCCTTGGAGAACTCGGTATGGCAGAGATTTCAAACCGGTCCAAAAGAGTAGAAACCAAATTATTTGCGTCAGAGGGTTGAATTGGAGGAAAATTCAAGCATAGAGCGTTCAAGAAAATCCTAGAAATTTCAGAATCCGAATTATTTATAGTGTAAATCACAATTTCCCCAGTGAATCCCGCAACATCTGCGGCAAAATCAGTGGATAAGTCCGCAGCTCTGTAGATACAATTCAATAAATCATTAAAAAACGTAGAAATGGAATCCTTGGAAAATGATTGGGGCCAGAACGAAGGGTTAAAAGAGGAGGGAATTGAGCGGTAAAATCCGAGGAGAAGAGAATTGGGGGTTTCATGAGCGTGGTCAGGGCATTTGGAGAGGAATCGCGCAACACCAAGTATGGCATTAAGCTGCGACCTCGAAACCCTCGGCGATCCGGTCAGTAAAGACTCCGGCGACGGGCAACGGTTGCAAATCCAGGCGAGTTTTTCCGAGAATTGAGCCGGGTTTTGCGCGATCAAATCGCAAAGCTCCAATAACGACTCCATTCAGAATCTACACCAGAAACCCAGCTCCAATTTTGCAAGATCTCAAAATCTCATTTGATTGGAAATGCATAGAACGGAATGACAACTTTTAAACAGCATACTATATGCAAATGCGATTCGAATGATTGTTGAACTTAGGGTTTAATAAATGACCCGGGAGGATCTATGTTCTTGATAAAGCGGTGTCGTCACGTCGCTGTTGTTGCTGCTCCCCGTCTGAGCGTCGACTTTGTTGAGCAGTTGAAGGCACATCTCGCGCCTCTCTTTGTTTTCGGATCCTTTTGTTTTTCTACAATGTCTTCAACTTTATTTATTTGTTATTTATTCAGAGGATCTATGATGACTTGACTCTTGATTCTTCAATTTGTATTTTTCAATTACTATTAGGGTCCGTTTAATTGTAAATATTAAATTAAATTATCTAGAAAATTAATTTTAGGGAATTGAATTGTTTATAATTATTTTTCTGATAATTGTAAATTATTGTGTTTGATTGGTATAATTTTTTAAGTGAAAAATGTTGAAATAAAAGTGTTTTTTGATATTCGTTTAGTTTTGTTTTACATAAAAATTGTTAATTAAAGGAATAGATTTAACTAGTATTGGGAATAAAATTTGTTTTCATTGCCAACACAAAACAAAATTTTCAAAAAAATCATCTATCTTTTGGTGTTTCTTTGACTTTGTTTAACATGAAAATTGTCATTTAAAGAAAAATATTTTTGTACAATAATTCTTAGAATTTGTTTACAGTACCAACAAAAAAAAATGCTACAGTAGGTAAGAAAACCATTTCTCACCCATATATGGTGGGAATTGATTTTCCCTAAAAACCAAGAAAAGCTCAAACTTCAAGAGAACCAAGAATTCGAATTCCATAGAAAAATGTATCAAACAACTAAAGTTGAAAAAAATTCAATTCCAATTTCATCTTCCAATTCCAATTCCACCCTATCAAACACGCCCTTAGTGGATCGTGCATGATAACTATTATATTTTTGGAAAAATTGCAGTCGATGTACCAAATTTTTCGTTTATTAGTGGATTTTGTTCAAACCTTTGATTTGTATCATCGGAGGTACCAAACCTTTCAAAAATTCACACCCGAAGTCCAAATGGATGGAAACTGTTAGTTCATTCGTTAGTTGACCTAGAGTCAATATTTTGACCAAGTTTTGATTAATTTTAGAAGGTTAAAATGGTAAAATTATATTTTCTATAAAAACAATTAAAATAAAAACCTAAAATACAAATACACTTCGTCTTCTCCATATACCCTCTGCACACTCACCCCTAAAACCAAAACCAGGAATCGGAACCACCACTGCCATTCACCCCACCATCGAAAATCACCACCAAAACACCATGATAAATAATTTCCTCCTCCATTCACTGTTTTCAACAAAATCAGTTTGTACATGTGTGAATTTCTCTATCCATTTCTGTATAATGAGGTCATCTTCAGTTCTTATCCTTCAATTATGGACAATCCTGCTAATCGACTCACCACTTCTGTGCTATAGGTTTTAAGAGCTTAGAAACGCGAGTACAAAAACTTTGCCCACCGCTCAACCCCTCCCAACACTGATTTTCCAATCGATATCCTACACTTGCATAGAATTTATATACTAAGTTTTTGTGTTGTGGGTAGAGAGCACAAGCTGAATAATTATCGATCTATAATGTCTACATGTGAGTTCAACAAAGAGTGGAAGATTTATACCATTGTTTTGGAGTCTTATATAGAGGATGTACCAAAACGAAATGCAGGAGAGGACAGGAAAATGTTCACTGAAATGTTGCATTTCTGCATTTTTTGGTCGTTCAAGCTGGTGGATCTGGTGATGCTAGATTTCTAATAACTGCCATTTTGCCCAATTTGTGAGGATGTGGGGTATTTATTTGAAACAATGATGTAGGAGGAAATTATTTACCATGGCATTGGTGGCGTTTTCCGGCTCAGTGGTCATGGAGGTGATTGGTGGTCACCAACGCAGTGGAGGTAGATGTGGGTTGGATTTTGGTTGATTTGATAGGGTTAGGTAGAGGCAAGTGGAAGACGAGTGGGTGGGAAGAATATGACTAATTTTATTTCATTTTTTGGTTTTTTCAATTTAATTATTTTAATTCTTTAATATAAAAACCTAATGTTACATTTTTACCCTTTAAAATGCAGTCAAATTTTGGTAAAAATGTTGACTCTAGGTCAACTAACGAATTTACTAACAGTTTCCATCCATTTGGACTTCAGGTGCGAATTTTTGAAAGGTTTGGTACCACCAGTGATACAAATGAAAGGTCTGGACAAAATCTACTAATAAACGAAAGATTTGGTATCTCAACTGCAATTTTTCCTATATTTTTCGGGAAAAAATAAATCTTTTGTTATGATCGTTTATTTTAAAACCCATAATGATTTAATTATAATGTTAATAACGTAAAGACAGGTGTATATTGTGTTAAAGTTGTAGGAAGATTACCTTTGTGGTTTTGTACCCTTTATATTTTCCATTATTGACGCAGTTCTGCTGATAACTCAGTCTTTCGTAAATAAAATCATTGACATGATCAAATAAATGGCTTGAGTATCTGAGTTGATGCATCAAATTTGTATAATGACTCGCGAATGACACATATTAAGAACTTAGAAACACGAATTAATGTATGACTTTAATTAATTTCTAAACATCACCGTAATTAGATATTAATGAAAATGGTTGTATTTGACAAGACAGAGGATGTGAACAATTAGATTTATACACCCGTTCACTTTATTTATATAAACGCAACACACTTATCCCAGATCATTATAAAAATGAAGTTTCAAAATGGTAAGATCTAATTTATTATATGTACCAGAAATGTAATGTGATAACATATACGTAAATCCTCAAGGGAGAAGAAGGATCACAAAAAGAGGTAGCTTTCTACTTCAACTAATTCTACGTATACGCTCCTCCTAATTTAGGGCTTGTTCGGTAATGATTATGAAAATTTATTTTTTGACCCGTTAGAGAGAAAATTGGATCCTCCATGTGAGATAATAAGTAAAAAATGGCTAGAGTAATGAAATAACGGTTAAAAAATTAATTTTTGGAGGATGAAAAATCAATACCAAACATGCATTTAATCCAGAAAATGGTTTGAAGCAGTTGCATCGAAACAAAAAGGAAAAAGAGAGAGAAAATTGAACTAACTTCATTTCTCCTTGAATTGGTGGAAGTATGGTACAGTTATTTTTTAAGGTCCCACTGGTGGAGGAGAAATGGCATGAATAGGGGGGGGAATGATTTAGGGTTGGTATGGAATTAGGTAAGCTGTGTAATATTTAATTATTAATGTATGCTAGAATTCTGATTAAAAAAATCTTTATACCTGATTTTTTCATAGTTAATTTGAAATACCCATATATGTGTAATTTTGCCATAAAAGAACAACCAACAAAAAGGTCAATACAAAGTATAATGGGCTAACTCACATGTGCCATCCAAAAAAGAATTGGCCATAAGCAACTCTAATTAATTGAGTCATTTTCAATGTCTCAAGTTGTTTTTGTCGAATCAATTACTATGGTGCCGATATAATTATCCCAACAATGTTTTAACATTATCACTCGAATTTATTGGGTATCAAAACCCAATAAAAATAACAAATAAGGATTGTAAGCACTTAGCGAACTAAAACTTTAATTCCAAAAGGTAATTCACGATCCTCCTATGAATATTACAAATACGTACACATGTTCAATATTTGAGTATATTATTCAGTTCAAAGCCTGGTGATTATATTCTTTCTCTGATCGAAATTTCATCAAACATATATGTAGGTATTTTCGGGACAAGGCTTGTTTAAATAGTTTGCAATGGAAAGTCACGCTAGTCTTACTCGGAACAAATGATTGCCAACTGCATTGTCGTCTATTGTTACCTCTGCACGATGATGAATAACTTATCTCCATGTTGAGTGATGGCTAAACTTTAACATTTGTGATTGGAAGAAACATGGTATTTAAGTTAGTAAAATAATTAGAAGGGAAAAACGATCATTTATGTACGTAGCAAACTATCAAATATTGGACGAAATTAAAATACATATAAAACATGTCAGAGCAAAGTATTACAAATATTAATTTTTAATGGAAAAACGTAGATTTTGGATTAGGTGTTCTAGGATTGACTAAACATGATTTAGTTATTAGATCTTGAATAATATATGTCCGAACATGTTCCTATGATAGCTCGAAATTTTTCTGGATTAAATTGTAATTACTTTGATTGTTTTGGACTTAATTGCAATGTAATAAAAGTTTAGCGATTATATATACAATTATACCAAATTGAGGCCTGATTTGGGTAGATTTCATTTCTTTAATTCTTGATTATAACTTACATGTCAACATTTTGGTAACAATCTTAAATTCTCGAACTCAGGAAAATTTTGATCTTACGAGTAACCATGATGGAAAATGAATTCTAATGACTTTGAAATTTATTATATTTTTCCATGTCAGTAGCCTATAATATCTTTCAGTTAAACCTGTCGATATTTATTATACACTAAGTAACTGAGTAAATATACTACTCGCATCTGAAGACTGAACTTAGAAATAATCATTTTATTATTATTATTATTATTTAGTCAATTTGCTTGTTGGGATGGAACCCGGAGACACCCTCTTGAATTTTGAATTTGTGATGTTTTGGGATTGTAAGGTAACATCACTTCGAATGCAAATTATATTCTGAACCATATTTTTCAATTCTCTTAATTTTGTAAATAGTATTTTATTGAAAAATATGTAATTGAAAATGAATTTGAGCTTCATTATTAGTACAGGTAAGCATGTGAGGTTGGTAGACAACATTGACGTTGTAAAATTTGGACCATTGATTTAAAAATAATTTTTAAAATAAATGAATGTGATGTTGTCAAGTGCGCACTGTCAATCAAAATTGTGAAAAATTATGAATAAAACAATTTGTATAATTGTTGTTAACAATTGCGATTGACAACGTTGATGTTGTCAAAAGACCATTGATTTAAAAAACAATCTTTAAAATAGATAAATGCGATGTTGTCAAAGGTCTGTTGTCAACCAAAATTATAAAGAAATATTGCACAAGTAGTATGATTGTTTTTCAAAAGTCAATAATTTTTTAATTATAATACTTGTACAATTCGATTAACAACTTAGTTGACAATTGTTATGTATCATATCCATTCACTTAAGGAAGCCTATTACATAGCTTGGGCATGAATAATGCTCATTTAAATAAGGGCTTTCTATTTGTACGCTCCTTAGCCCACACCTAATAAATAAATCGTAGACCGCGTGTAGTGAGGGGGCCTACACAGTACACCGAGTAAAACCCTTTGAAAATAATTGTTTTTAAAATCATTAGCAAGGATCTTTCCAAAAATACATCTAAGAACCTGTTTGATGGAATTTATTTAGAAATAATAGAGTTATGGAATAATATTTTTTGAAGAATGTTTTGTTAAAAAGTAAGGAAATTTTATTGATTTGTATGTAAAATATTTTATTATGTAAATGTGTGATGGATAATGATATTGTAGCAAATAATTTAAATTTTTAAAGGACGACAAACACCTAAATATCAATTCGAATTGACGTGAATCTCAATAACCAATAATTGACTCAGTAAGTAACTATATAATACATCGAATCTCACATAAAGATTTCTTTTAGGAATTATTTCTTACAAATAGAAATTTTAAATAAGTTGTATCTTGCTCAGACCAATAAATAGAGGATTCAATGCAAATTTTGATGGGGATCGAATGGTTGTTTATGCACCTTTATCTTTGGAGGCTCAAGCGGAGGCTCGAGTTAAACTTAAATGCTTGTTTGGTAGGGATTTTGATCATTGAGTTTTTGACCGATCAAATGGGTTCTATGAGAGAAAAATAAAAAAATAATGACTAAAATAGTAAAATAACAGTTAAAAATTAAATCTGTACCAAACAAGCCACAATTCATAATTTTTTTAATTAGGCAAGAACTAAAGCAAAATATGGTTAAATTTTGAGCGTAAAGCCTTTCTTAGCAGCACTAAAAGTATCTCAAAAATCCTGATTTCTTGATCAAAATAAAATTTGGCTGCTATAAGTCAGTCATGCAGTGAGAAATATCCTAAAATAAGCAGAAAGTACAGGTAAAATCACCCAATTTCCTCCCTAATCGTTCTTTGAATCCCATTTTCTTATCTGTTATTGTATTTAATTTCTCTCATGGGAGATTTTTTTAATGTTTTTTCTTGAGTTTTTCTTCTGTTTATTCTTTCTGTAAAATTTGAAGAAAGATAGATAAATTACCATTATAAATTCCTGATTTCAAACCCATTTTGGTTGACTTTTTTTTTTTTTTTTATTTGAAAATTTTAAATTTTTTGCAATTGTATCTTTCCCTCTAACTTTGTAAATTACAATTATATAATTTTGAGCATTAATAGTTTGCTGTTTTTAATGGTTAAGTTTGGTTAAATGAGTTAGTATTATTAACAATAAATTATTTGGGGGCTTTTGGCAGAATAATGGGTTTAGGCGATAAAATGCAGAAGGCCTTTTGCTCGATGTGTCCGGTGAGTTAATTAATAAAAGCAACTCAAACTCATTATTTAGTTACTTATTTTGCCAATGCCAATCACAATCGTTTGCACTTTTAAGTTTGGGTGGGTTTTAATGAATGCATTATTCACATATTAAATTGTCTCAATTGATTATTCATCTCACCATTTGCTTGTTTATAGAAATTATCGTGCACATAGGAATTTTTTTTAATTTATATAATTCCCCCTAATTGCAGACTCAAAATTTGATACGAGTTCGAAAATGATGCCTAATTTTTTACTATAATTGTTCTCATATAGCTTGACAAGTACAACTTTAAAATTCTCAATGAACGCATAGGCTGCTAGTAATTACTATCTTATCTTCTACTTGCATAAGTTCCTCCTGGGTTTGCTAAGGCTAGACTCTTAGGTAAGGTGGAATGCACGCTAATCGATTGTACTGAGAAGAAATAGAAGCTCTTACCAAATAGACTGAATAGTATCCATGCCTTTATGGTTCTTGTTTTGAATATCTTCAATAAATGATACTTTGGCTTCTCAGAATGGCAGTTGTGGGGCTCGTTTATGCTGGCACATCATGCATTTGATCCTCAGCATGTGGTTCTATATTCTGGGGCTGGTTTTTATGTTTGAGAGCTTTCTCATCTCTAATGGTTTGTTGAAGAGGTATAGAACCCTTAATATTAGCAAAGTTCAGTACCTGGCTATTGTTATAGACAGCGAAGAAGCTCTTCAAACTCTAAAAGTTCTCAATCTACTACGGTGGCTTGCAGCTATCGGTTTGAAAAGTGTGTGCCTATACGACAAAGAAGGTAAAGGTGCCAGAGCATAGAGCCTGTCTGGCTAACCTCAAACAATAAGTAAAAGTGCTAATTGGAAGCAAATAAAAACCTACTTCTGAACAAGTTTTTGAACTAAAAGTTCCAAAAAAGTGACACTTCTATACAAGCTCAAATATTTGGTAAAAAGAATTTCTTGAAAGTAACTTATAAGCTTAATCGAACATGCACGTCATCACAGTACAGTGGAAAGTAGTGTTGGTTAGCCTTCTAGTTGTAGTTATGATTACTATGTCTTTCTCGTGTTGTAGGAGTTCTGAAGAGATCAAAACAAGCAATCACGGAAAGATTAAAAAGTGAAAAAAGGTTCAAGGTACCGTCTTCTAGTTGTGCAGTATCTAGAGTTCAGTTTACTTGACAATTTTCATTATGTTTTATGTTGTTACATTCTAAAACTATTATATGCATTTGATTATAACTAATCCCATCCAATAAATTCAATCAGTTCTCCCTGCATAAACAAATTTAACAGCAATTTGAGATACATTATGTTCTTTTATGCTGGACATTATTCCCTCTGAAAGAATGACCAAGAAGATAAACCCCCCATCTCCTAGTCCCTCTTATAAAGATTAACTTTTTCCTTTTGGTTTCTAGAAACTGAAAGTGATGAGGACATCTACTTGGATTATTTAGTTTACTATTTTAGTTGGGCTTGTATTATTGTTATAATTTTATTTTATTTTTGTATTGGCCTTTTATTTTGCTTTGGGCTTGTATAGTGTATTGGGCTGGCCCAAGCCCAGTTTCTTGTATTGTATATTATATATATGTATGCAGCCTTTGCATGGGAGAGGATTGATGGAAATGAAACGAAGTTTGAGTGTTGCAGGCATTTCTCCCTTTTCCACCGCCCCTCCTCTTCTCTTCCCTTCCCTTCCCTTCTCTCCTTCTCTAGCTGTTTATGTATTCTGCTTCTTCTGCTGGTTTCTTCAACTTTCACAGATTCTGAATTTCTCAACTTATGCTACATCAACTTGGTATCAAAGCTAAACCTGGTTCCAACATCTTCAACTAAAAATTGGAGTCACAGAATTGCCATGGAAGTGACGAAAAGTTCAGTCAACTTCCTGTCTTCAGCTTGCTGTTCAACATCATAAATCCTTACCCAGAAGGTGACCCACGCATCCATCCTCTCCAAGCCGCACACAAACATCTAACCTAATACACTGTAACACACCGCCCCACTACCTTCATCTGCAACTATCAACCCCCACTCTCCAATTTTAAATTCACAACCCATATACACTTAGCTACATTCTACCCGCCATTCCACCGTCACTGTCCAGCCATAAGCCAACTACCACAACATCCATTCCTGAAATTCCAAAAACTTCTTCCCCCCTGTCGTGCTTCAATTGTAAAGGCTTTGGTCATATCGCATCTAGATGTCGAGCTTTAGTCATTGAGGAACGAAAAGATGTAGAGTGTGAATCATTAGAAGATCAAGTCTATGAACTTAAATTTGAAGAGTTTGACGATTTGGATGATATTGAGGATACCTTGTTAGGTTGCATTCGAACCTTCCTTGTAATCTAGGTTCTGTGACCTCTGTCCCCGACATCTCGCGGCTAAGTGTTGTGTGTTGTACCCTCACTCACCCTAAAGATGCTAATGACTGGCGTCGTCACGCCGTTTTTTATACTTATATCAAGATCAATAACAAGGGTTGTAAAATTATTGTGGATAGTGGTAGCTGCATTAATGCAGTTTCTGTGATTACAGTGTCCCGTCTTGGATTACAGCCAGTGCCACACCCTCAACCTTATAGCGTTTCTTGGGTTGACACTTCTTCTATTGCCGTAAACGAGCGTTGTTTGGTTCCTATCTAGTTTCTTGAGTACAAAGATCATATATGTTGCGACGTCATTTCCATGGACGTCGGACACGTCATTCTTGGTCGACTCTAGTTGTTCAATTTAGATGTTACTATCCATGGTCGGTCAAATCCATGTTCCTTTGTGTTCAATGGGAAGAAGATTTACCTTAATCCTTTACCGCCAAAACTTGTTGATTCACAACAGACCAAGAAAATTGTGGAGCGGAAAGGGTTACTTATGATTAGCCCTACAAAATTTGAGCGTCATGGAAGTTTCATCGGAATCTCCAATATTAACCCCTGATGAGGTCCAGTCAGTTCTTCAAGAGTTTCGAGATGTCTTTCCTGAAGACCTCCTCGATCTATTGCCCTCTTTACGGGATATTCAACATGCTATAGATTTTGTCCCTGATCATCTCTTCCAAATTTACCTCATTATAGAATGAATCCTACTGAGCATGCTGAGCTCGAGAGGTAAATAGAGGAGCTCCTTCACAAAGGATTTATTCGTGAGAGTCTAAGTCCTTGTGCGGTTCCCGCCCTTTTGATTCCTAAGAAAGATGGTTCTTGGAGAATGTGTGTTGATAGTCGTGCCATCAATAAGATCACAGTGAAGGCCTTTTATTTTGCTTTGGGCTGGCCCAAGCTCAGTTTCTTGTATTGTATATTATATATATGTATGCAACCTTTGCATGGGAGAGGATTGATGGAAATGAAATGAAGCTTGAGTGTTGCATGCATTACTCCCTTTTCCACCGCCCCTTCTCTTCTCTTCTCTTCCCTTCCCTTCTCTCCTTCTCTAGCTGTTTATGTATTCTGCTTCTTCTGCTGGTTTCTTCAACTTTCACAGATTTTGAATTTCTCAACCTATGCTACATCAGAAAGCAAGAACTGTTTTTATTTGGTCTATCTACTTGAGCTGGATGAAAATAAAGTTTCACGTCCAATAGGAGATATATGTTATTTATAATTAATTCTTCCCAACTATGGCGTAAGGCAATTTTCTTTTTCCTTCTTTGGTGCCTGGTGTACTTTCGAAAATTTTATGGGGAAACTTATTCAACTCTTTATAGGAAATCAGCACAAGTGACCCACTACATGATGAGAAAGGCATGATTCTGGAATTCATTTCGTCCTCTGATGGAAAAGAAGCAGTTGCGAGAGCAGCTAATTTCCTTTTAGAGAAGCGTTATTCAAGTGAAATCAAAGAGAAGCCAAATTTTACAGAGTCTGACATGGCTGATGCTCTTAGAGCAATAGGTTTGTAGTTCTGCAGTTCCTCCTAAAATTTTTAACCTTCTACAACCAATTTGCAATATTTCCTCACTGTATGATGACTCATCTATCCATCTTTTGGTGAATACAGGTTATCAAAGTTCGGATCCTGATCTCATGCTAGTTTACGGGCCCTCAAGATGCCACCTGGGATTTCCAGCTTGGAGAATTCGTTACACTGAGATTATGTGAGTCCATAGATCTGAATCACTAACTAATTTCCTCTTTCTTGGGGACATCATCAAAGTGTAATTAACTTGGCAAGCAAAATTTTTACGCCCTAGAAAGATGTTACATTTTCATTTCAGTTCCATTATCAACATCTGCACAAATGTGCGTATTGATTTATGTGATACATAGATTATGTGTTTCTGTTGCTGCCAAAGTAAAACAAAGTTTCTTTTGGATTCATTTCTCTTCGTCCTAGGGATTACCTCGACTAGCAGATTTACAGTTTAATATCACCATTTGTTCTGCGAAGTAGGACTATGGATTGTGTTTGGAGACTGAAAGTTTGACTATGCTCATGTTGCAGGCATATGGGATCATTGAAATATATGAAATTCGGTTTCCTCGTAAAGGCCATTTATAATTTCACAATGGTGCATCAAAACTATGGTACGATTATCCTCCTAAAGTATGACATCAATTGCGTAAAAACATTAATTGCACTTCCTTCCCTTTCATGTTATTTTCTTGGAAACAGAATAAAATGATTTTCTTCGTACAAGTTATTGGATTTCTTTAATTACTGGTTCCTTTTATTCCTGACCACTTGAAATGCTTAGATAATATTGTTAATAGACGAATATCTAACAGAAAAAGGAGAAAATGAAGAAACCTAGTAACTTCTAGTAAGCACTATGGAGTTTTTGACTTGTGGCCTTATTGATAGCGATTTTTACGAGCTTGTGAAGTGAACTACTGCTGGACTGAAAACAATATATGTCTTGTCTTCTCATTTTTTATGAAATAATCAATGATTTGAGTTGGAATTTTGAGGTTCAGACACAGTACATCTGTAGTATTGTTTGTGTTATTCACAACTTGATATTACTGATAGTTACAATATAGAGCATTTCAAATTAGTTCATCTGATTATTTACCTCATTTTTGTTTCTTTTCCTTTTTGTCCTTCCCAGGTACATGAAACCTTTACATATGGAGTGGCATGTTCTTGTATAAAGACTACAATAAAACTTCTCTTTGGGGAAACAATGCCACAGGAATTTACCTAATTGTATACACTGTTTTATTTTGTTGATGTATGTCTATTTTCGTCTAAATGTACAATAGAACTTGTGGTTCGTCCCAAGATTTTCTACTTGTCCGGTTGTTTTTGCACGATTGTTTGATATAATATCAAACGTATCTTTTTAAAGTGACTAATTTTCTTTCATTTGAACTATTTGGGCAATTCATAATATACAAGTTATTACTATCTCGTCTCTCTTTAACATGCATGGCTGGCCCCCCGTTTAGAGGTAGTAATGAGAAGGCTATTCTGTCCCAATAGTGATTTTTTAAAGAATGTGTGATTAAAAAATAAAGAAATTTTTTTAGTTTACGTGCAAAATTATTTTAGGGAAGAACTTGTGTTTTAAAATGAATTTTGAAAAAAGTGCTTTTGGATAAATGAAGTCCAAACGTAGCTATGTATTAAAGGTATGAAGCAATAATGAAAAATTATCATTCCTATCAATCCAATTGGGATCCATGTTGTGTTGTCATAAGGCACATCTCTCTTATCACAATTCGTCACCATCTTGCCAATGTTGTACTATCGGTTGAACTACGACTACCTTAAAGAAAATCAACTCCAATCCTTTCTTTGCTCTTACGAGAACTTAACATAAATATTGCCATGCGAAGTATTTTGATTTCTGAAGTGTTGCATGAAAATCCCACATTAAAAGTTATAAACTTAAAAAAATTACAATTTAGCCAAAACATCCAATTCACCAAAATTTTCGTATGTGAAACGTGACTTCCATGGAAGTTTGCTTGTTTGAGTTCTAGATAAACTATGCTTGATCGACTCTTTATCGCTGGTGGAATCATGTATACTCCCATTAATCTCTGATTTTAATTATCCACGGCTAAAGTTAAATGTGTTGCATTTTAATTCACCACAGTAGAAATCGGATTTTGAATATTTTTAGCCATTGCTTCTACTTGTTGGTTTTGGCGTGCTTCTATCTGTTCTTTTCTTCTCAACTTAAAATATTCATTCTATTCTCGGTTCAAATGGAACAAGATCATTGTGTCTTGAACTTTGCATACAAAATTCAGAAAAGAAAATGAGGAAACACTGTAATTTTTTATAATATGAATTAAACACTAATAAACTAATAAAAAATCTGATTAAAATTATAACTAACTAATATTATATTCATCGATAACAATATCAAAAACTTGATCGACTAAATTTCATAAGTGCACGGTATCGTATATAAGTAATAGGATGATGAATAATATATAGTTTCACAGAGATTATGTATTTAATTTAGTATTAATTAATACTAACTTTAATCGAATGTCAAGTTTTGATTACCAATAACTATAACTAATTATCTAACTTATTAAATAGTAAGCAATCAAGAAAATTTTGGTAAGATCAGTTAAACACTCATTAAGACTTTGTTTCCTCCTTTATTAATCCAATCAATACAATTTAATATCATGGCAATATTTATTCTTGTCGATCAATGTTTCTAATTTATTTACTAATCTCCGTCGATTAGTTTTAAGACTATTATCTTACGTGATTTTTCTACATCTTTATGAAAGATGTGAACATTAAAGAATGTTTTAAAACATTCGAACACCTATTGAAATCATGTAAGACGTAGCGTGATGTCTCTATTCTGTATCGAACTTTCAAACAATTGTTATAATGTGCTATTTTTCTTATTATTTATTTCGAAATCAACAAAAGTTACACATCAGTCCAACTAGTGATAAAGTAATGAAAAACATCAAATCATCTAACAATCATCCAAGATAAACAAATATTGAGCGTCAAAGTATTGAAATTAATATCAAACTTCATAACGAAAATTCATCTATGTCTTAGTGATTGAAAATCGAGCCTAGCAATTCAAAGTTACAAGAAATCAGGATTGAATCATACGACATATCTTGAATTTGAGATATATGAAGAAAAAGAAAAGGAGTCACAAAATCTTGGATCTCTTAAAAATTTACTTGATCATCAAACTCCAACTGCACCTTTTTCTTTGCCAAAAAACCAAGAAATAATCATCGAAAAAATAACTCCTTATATCTTGCCTCTTAATTTCTCACAAAAGATTGATACGTCGCCTCTCTTGATTGCAAGAATATGCGTATTGTATGGTATGAGAGGTATTTTTAATTGTTGAATAAAGGCTGAAATTTACAGAGGCCAAGCCCCTGTTTGATCCCCATTACCTGAAAATGAAAATTGGGGGAATAGTAATTTTTAGAAAAATGAGTGGTTGAAAAAGAAGGAAAAATTTTCGATTTACGTGTAATATTATTTTATGGAAGATTGTGTGGTTGAAAATAGAAGAGAGAAAAATGGAATATAATGTAATGTAATTTAATTTAATGGGGATCAAACAGGGACTAAGTTGAAATTTGCATCAATTTGATTTCTGTAAAGTCGTTGATTCAGATACAGAAACCAGAAATTTACACTGGAAGTGCTCCATGTGCTCTAATTTATAGTTATGGGTGCGATTGCGACATTTTCCATACTAGGAACCTGTTGCTACAAATTTAGATGCTTTTGATTATCAACATTTTTATGGCAAATATCATTTTTCTTCACACAAATTCCTACTTTTATGCTATTTAATTGATTTTTTTCATTAAAAATATTTTCCTACTTTTGATCACATAACCATATTTTTCTTGAAAATAAGGAAAATATTTTCTTTATGTAAAGTAGATTTTTATTTTTAAGGTAATTTACTCTCATTTTCTCTCTCATTTACCCCCTCTTTCTCCTGTCTACTTACCAATAAAAAATGGACAAGTATATTATTCTTTACGTTGAAAATAAAATCAATCAAATAAATTTAATTGACAATTTTCATGTAAATAATTTTTAGGCAATTCAAATTGCTCATAATTTATTTTCTTTCAATGTAAATTTCATGTTCGCAATCAAATACACCTTACATGCGATTGCAATGGAGAATTTTATGATTTGCACAGGTCCCTACAATCTTCTCTTCATTCAATTCAAGTCTTTTTTTTTTCGCGCACTTCTAGTAATCCGATTTCCAAGATCCACCAATTCAATATATATCTTCTTTAATCATCATTTCTTGATTCGAATAATTTTTTGAATACTTTCAATTTAATCTCCAAACTTTAAAATTCTTCCTCTTTCACCAATGAGATTTCCAAGATCCACCAATTCAATATATATCTTCTTTAATCATCATTTCTTGATTCGAATAATTTTTTGAATACTTTCAATTTAATCTCCAAACTTTAAAATTCTTCCTCTTTCACCATTCATTGGATTGATTCACTTTTTATTTTTTGCTTTTATCAAAAACCATCCAAACTCGAACAAACCCTACAATATTTAATATTTAACCAAATCAAGTAGTAATCCCATCAATTTAACTCCCAAATGTTTACTTTCGAATGTCCAAATAGGTGTAAAAGTTACACCTATCAATTAGTCTAAATGTGAAAGAGAACCTAGTCAATGATTACACCCCCGTTTGGCCCCCATTTTGTAGAAAAGAAAATGAGTGAAATAATATTTTTTGAAAAATAAATGGTTGAAAAAGAAGAAAAAGTTTTCGATTTACATGTAATATTATTTTATAAAAGATTGTATATTTGAAAATAGAACAGAGAAAAATTGAATGTAATGAAAATAAAATTAATGGGGGCCAAACGGGGCTAAATATGGTTTGTCCCAACATTTCCCACTAGTCCTGTTACTTTGAACAGTAAATATCATTCCTTTCATTTTAATGTGGCCATTTGTCCCTCATTTGACCTATTCGGAGTTTAGACCTTCAAGTACTATTTGTCATTCTATTTTCACGGCTTTTTGAGAGAAATATAGTGAATAGACAGTCATCACGTGCAAAAACATGTAGCTGTTTAATGATAAAATTGAAGTTTTTTGAACTGCAGCTTTCAAGTTATATCAATTGTTTCACACACGATTTGAATCAACTAACATTATCAACCAGACTACCATAAATTTGAATCAACCGATTTCCACATGCAATCAGAATGTTATATCACTAGCTTTTCAAGCCAGGTTCCAGTTGCTTCTCGTGACACTAGAGAATGTCGTTTGGCGGAGACAGTAGCAACCCAAGAATGTGTCAGTACTCCGTTTCAAGAACCCCATCAATGAGCCCAAACTCCATTGCCTGCAGGAAGGTAGCAATGATAAGACTGAGGTTAGTATGCAAGTCCCATGGCTATGTTTCTTAGTTAATGTTCAAATTTGAATATGGAAAGCCAGCTCCTGTGTAGAATAAATCAAAACGGCAAATTTACAAATAGCTATAGTGTTGATCACATGAAATATTATTTCAAATTTCCACTTTGGTAATTAATAAAACTGAAAACAAATAGAAAATCGACAGCAGATTGTCTTCGATTCTAAGCCCTTATCCTGCCAACTCTTTGATCTTTCAGACCCTCATATCAGAGAGTAGAATTTTCTCATCCCAAAGAAAAGATGAGTGGGAAGAGAGCGTCTGAGCTACCTGATAATTAGAAGAAGTGGATTACCTAACTTTACTGTAAGGCTTTTGGGAAGCCTGCTCCGAGTCAACTCAAAATTCTCCTAGGCGGACAATTCTCTACATCGAGGAGGGAATGAATTCAGACTACCACAGACTCAGCCGCTGCAGCAGTATCCTCATCAGATACATGAATGAACCAGAATATCCAATCCACTCAAGTCATATACAATTTATCCTCCTCATGCACAATCAAGCTTTAATATCTAAAACCACCATTGTTTGAAACTACAAGGTCCTAAACTGCGACCACATTAACATACTAAATCCTAATATGACGAGCAAAATTTTATGCATAACATCTTAGTTCAACTTAATATATACTAGTCCAAGAAATAGCCTAATTTGTCACTCGCTATAGAAACGCAGGAGCCCATTTCTCACAATCAGATCCCTAACACATCGCCCCTTTCCAAATCCTATAACACACTGATTCTCCAACTCTAAAATCTTCCAAACCCTCACAAGCTCTCAGTCCAAAATATATGCACTTCTGAAGTTCTAAAATATAGTTTATTACCCAGCACTTTCATCAACTAAATTTATGTTCTCTACATATGCTAAAGGGACCTAATCTTAGATGTCTTGTAAGCTCAACCTGAGCATGGCTAAAATAAAAGATAAAAACTCAGGGTGGACACTGATGTAAGAGGACAGTAATAAGAAATCAACTACTACCACAAATAGGTATCACATTTGTGATAAGTGCATCATAATTCAAGTAGATCTCACATTTGTGATTCTTGGAATTGGAATAAGTTCGGCAACGAATCACAAAATCTTGGTGATCTTCTCTATCTAATGAATGGGTACGTTGCTTATCACCAACTGATTTTTCAAATCTCCCCTCAAGGAACACATTATATTGACTAGAATTTATCTGAATCATCCCATCTATATCCTAGCAACATCATTGCTTTATTGATTTTATATAATCCTATACGCAAAGCATACTCTTCTCATAAAGTAAGTCAAACTAATATAATCCTATTTTACCAGCCCATTCAAGTTCTAGTAAGTCAAACTAATACAATCCTATTTTACCAGCCCATTCAAGTTCTACCACCTCATAGTTTAATCTGGTTCAATGATTATTCCAATTCCAGTATCCTAAATTCTAGATCTCATGTTTCCGTGTAGTAGGCAATTATTTTTCTACCCAACTTCCTTCTATTCATCTCCTCACAAGATCACCGAAAGAATTCTTTGATCTTCCTCTGTATTTTACTCCCTTGGGCAAAGATAAATAATTCAATCTCTTCCCTCCCTCAGCTCTGGGGGGCACAGAGATATTTTTCTTTCTTATTCGCCTACTCCTAGTATCATTTTATCCTGAGTGGGCTAACACATCTTTGAAGCCTCCAGCAAAAGAAAACATTATAAGCATTGTATACAATATTATTAACATATTGAAACTTGAAAGATAAAAGATGACTAGACTTCACCTCAGATACAGACAAGAAACGATCCCTCTCAGTATACTGCTGCACTTTCTCAAGAGACTGGCCCGTAAAGGCAGTATACATTTTGTCAATTTTCTGCAGCAAACAATGACAAGGATAAATTTAAACTAAATGATGTAACACATATTCGGAAATGCCAAATTCATTGGAAACAAGGCTTAGGTTTGTTGCAAACATTTTATAGCTGTTTCTAATTCGGAAAATATACATCGAGAGAGCTATTCCATTCTATATAAACACAGAATGTATAATGGGAAGTTTTCTTCTGAAATATATTACCCAAGCCAAAAACATTACCAGGCGTATTAGAGGTTATGCTCCAATTAGAAACTTGACCATACAGCTCTACATGGTTAAGCCAAAAAATATGCAAGTGATAAATATATTGAGTTCAGCTGAATGCCGACCTAAAATAACCGATGTCTAATTTTCTATGATACTCATCCTGAGATTATTAGAGTATATTAACCATAAGAGGAATGGAAACTGACATGGCGAGATTGAACTGCTTCATTCACTTGGCGCCTTACATCTTCAACATGCCCCTACAAGCAGAATAAGCATAATAAGACCCAACATATACGAATAAAATTACAATGCCTGAATGTAAAGATAAAACAGTAGTCAATCAACACGTGTATAGTGGAAATCATCCCATGTTCAAAAATATTTAACTGAGGGTAGTACGGCTTCTCATCACTACATAACTAGAAATGGAGAACACAATCTGAAAATAAACCGCAGTTGTTAATAGCAAAAACCACATAAAAATAGTAGAAAACTAGAGCCATTACAATCACCATGATTACATAATCCATCCCAGAGGATTTTATCCTGTCTAAAAGTTCTGAGATCAGAAACCAATCTCATTTGAAGCATAGGTAAAGAAGCAATAACGGAACACTATCTAAAGAAGCATCATATCTTCCCACATGTTATTTGAAAGGGACATTCAAATTATTATCAGAAAACTTCCCTCCCATCCTCTCTCTCCCCAACGTACTGGATTAAGCTAGTAGAAATGCAATGTGAAGAAATGTTCCAGAAGACTAGCAATTCTTTCATTCTATACAGAAGAAACCACAACAGCATGCCGCTATATTTAAAAGATTCTAGTTTGCATAGATAATTTTTTCAGAGACGATTGGATTAACAAACCAACAAGTTTTACTCAACTTCAGACAAAATCTGAAATCTGCCCAACCCTGCGATTCTTGATCTTTCTTCACCAGCAAAATCGTTAAAAATGTATAAAATCTGAAAATCATGAACAAACTACTCTCTCTCTCTCTCTCTCACTCTCACACACACACACACACACACACACACAGCAAACACAGACAATGATAATGTAACTACTGATGAGAAAAAAAGAGTTCCCCTATATGCAGAATCCAGTATCCCGAAATATGATCCCAGCATAAGCTGTATGTTCGAATAGACTGATGGCTCTATACAAATAGACAGTTCATACCCCACATCCACTTTGAGGTTGATGTATCATAATACGGGAATTTGGCATGGAATACCGCATTCCCTTTTCTCCACCAGCAAGAAGAAGTGCCCCCTGGCTTGCAGCTACTCCAAAACATACAGTACCAACCCTGGGTTTTATCTGAGAAGTGGTTATTGCAAAAACAGAAATTAGATACCAACTTCATAGCAATGGAGAAAATGTGCTTATTTCTTAATGCGGGAATTCATTGCATAATTAACACATAAAGGCACCAACATCAGAAGTTGAATGCCGCAAAAACCAAATCAAAGAAATGCATAAGATAAGTTGTAATCTTACCCAGGACATGCAATCATATATTGCCAAGACAGAGTAGGTGCTCCCACCCGGGCAGTTGAGATAGATCTAACAAGGTCAGACACAAGACAACAAATGTGAACTTGATTTCAGTAGACAGGATGTCAACTCTTATCTTTGTAACCAAATAATGAGGGACAAAAATAAGATGAAAAATGTGCTCACCAAAATATCTGCATTTTCATCAATTGTTGCCAGAGTCACAAGCTGTGATATAACTCGCTGAGCCACCTGTGAGTTAATTGGCTGCCCAATGAAGATTATCCGATTTCTGAACAACACTGTAGAAAGATCTAAAGGCCCTCCTGGAGTCATGACAGCTGGCATGATAGGTGGGTTTCCCTTTTTGGCTTCTATCACTCCATAACTGATAAATGAAAGAAAAATTACGAACTTATAGTTCTAGCTAAGGTTTGCCGTGAGGTTGAAATTCATTAAATACAAAGTGAATAAGAGTGGCCGATCAGGTATAAAATGGAATTATAGACCCCAAATATTTCGTAGCCAGGAAGATTCCAGTTATCCATTACATCTATAAGTGGTATCTATAAAATTATTTAAGAAAATTCAATCATCATAAGCCTTTCACAGTTTAATACCTCTGCCAACATAGTTATGTTTCCGTGCTACACGTATACCCAAAAGTAAGATGACTCGACTAATCATGTGGTTGAAACCAATTCCCGTCTTGTACATAAGCATACAATTATTATTTATCTATAAATCAAATAATTTTCTTATTCATTATAGAATCTCTAAATTCCCTTTCCATTCTTTTTATAGCCTTCAATATCATCAAGCTTGTGGTTTAGCCTTACATGTGGCTGTGATGCATAGCCCTAACAAATTGTCAAGTGATAGGAAAAATGTCTACCACCCTCTTGCAGAACGACGAAGTATCAAGCAAGAACTTCCATCGATTCATGTCAATTGAAACATTTTTTTATCACAACCTCCTTAATACAACAGCTATGTCTAAAATTCCATTCAAATAAGTCTACACTGTCAATCACAAGTTGTTTAAGTTTGCAGGTGCAAGTAATATCTAATGCATCACAAGGATAGAGGAGTGAACCTTTGATCAGGAATAGAGTGAAAATCCTGCTGGTCAAGCTTCAATGGCAATCTGTGTGTCTTACTGTATAGTCCTGGTAAATGTTACATAATATCTTAACCCAAGTTGTTATTGCTCATCATAAATCAATACATAATTTTCAAAGATGGCAATCAACACATCTAAAATGAATATATACTGAAAGCATCATAATACATCATTAGTACAACGTAAAGCATGCGAAATTAGATAAAGAAGAAAACTTCATATCAGCTTTTTAATAACACATTTTCAGCTTAATCATACATTATTCTAGCTGATGAAAGCCATAGCTGAAAATAATCAAAATATAAGCTTTTTAATAGCAAATTTTCAGCTTAAAAAATAATTATTTAGATGGTGGAAGCCAAAAATCAGAATTTTTTCGAAGCTGCAATGT